TTTTAAAGTGTTTGATTGACATTTTTTCTTAGAAAGTATTTTTAAAGAGTTATGTTAGATGTACACAATGAGTTACACAATGGATTACACCTCCTTCTCATGGAGGGGGGCCCATACACAATAAAATATTTGTGGGCCCCCCTCCATGCGAGGGGGGTGTAAAACCGTGTGTACACCACAAGGTGTACACATTGCATTTTCTTTTATGCATCTAATCTAGACAGGAGATGCAACTTCTGATTTCTATGTTTCAAGTTCAAACAAACGACCATGAACCTCAAAATCTGGTTCATGTATATCCCGCATTGAATAGTGTTCTCAAATGTGTGAAAAAGAATGTATTATCTATCAAGACGAACACTATGCTCAACTGCAAAACAGAATGACAAAAGATTTTTATATTAATTAGTTTCTGCAACAACGATGCTTGATGATCCAAGACCAAACTCTTTATTTTCATATTCATAGTGATCCATTGTACTTTTTTAGTTGTTTTTTTATCTAAAAAGATATGTATTTTCGATTGTTCTTTTGTAGTCATCTTGTAACTGTATTTCTTAGATGATGGCAATATAATGACCCAACCTCTACATCCAAACCAATAACTTAAATACTGTCCGCTATGGGAGAGTCTAAGTCCATCTTATCCCTCACGAATTTTTGTTGCATCCTTAGAATTTGAACACATGACGTCCCCTTAAAAGAAACTTAAGTGACGTCATTTACTCTTTCTTCGCTAATGAGATAATGTAGTTGGCTTACTGCTGCCACTTTCCCTACGTTTCAACGTTGGTTTGAAGCCTCTAGACTTGGAGCCAGAGGAAGCTTAACACCCCAAGACAGAATGTGTCTTTTCGAATTTACTATAGGGGAAGAGCAGGAAAGAGAAATGAATCAATTGATAGCCTTGACCATGATATGGAAACTAAGCAAGGAATGTTCAACTCAAACAATAAAGAATGCCACTTAAGTCTCTCTTAAGGAGTGGTAATGTGTTCAAATTCCAAGGATGCGACAAAAATCCGTGAAAATGTAAGATAGGTTTAGGATCCCCATAACGGACAACACTTAAGTTAAAAGTTTGGGCATAAAGGTTGAGTTGTTACGTGAAACGTTCAAGAGTCTTCGTGAAACTGGATCATAGAAATTGGGTTAAAACACATTGTTAGTCACTCGGCTCATAGTTTATTTATCATTTGATTTACTGCAAGTGAAAGGGATCGTGAACAAGTAATAAAGTAGTGAATAGAGTATTGAACCCACGATGACTATGTACTTAATCTAGTGTCAATTAATTCAACTTTAATTGAATAGTCAAATAGGTTTGAGTATATATACTAAATGATCTAATTATATTAACTAAGCTAATTATGTTGTCAAATATGTGTGATGGATGCTAAGATTTCGAATCCCTCTTGTTAATCTATTTTTAATACAATTAAATATCATGAAAATATGTACTTATTCATATTACAATGTTTATAAGTTAATTAAAAATATCTCTCGATGTCAATTAAATATATCCCTTCATGTGACTTTCTTATATCTTTATGAAAGATGTAAATATGAAAACATGTATTAAAAACGCTAAAACATCTATAAAAATAATGCAAAGCATAGTGATATATCTCTATCTCCTATCGAACTTTGCAGTGATTATTATAAGTGCTATCTATTCTATTATTTCTCTCGAAATCAATAAAATTCACAATCAAGACAATTGGTGATCAAGAAATTGAAAAGACATTAAAACTCAATAATAATCATCCATAAATTCACACATATTGGATGTCAAAATACTTATTTTATATAAAAAACTTCATAACAAGGGTTTGTCTACATCCTAACAACTATAAATTTAGCCTAGCATATGGAAAGTACAAGAAAACATATTAATTTTATAGGATATCACCCAGATTATAAATTTGATGAATAACGAAGAATAATTTTGATGTTCTTAAATTTCTTCAATGAAATCTTGATGAATCTTCAATTGTTTCTTCAATTCTCGAATGAATTTTTCAATTAATTTAGTTTTTGCACTTGCCCATTCATTGTATCTCACAATATTATGAATTTACATCTCTTTTGGCATATGAATTGATGGAATTATGGATGTAATATGTATATGGATGAAGTAGGAGCGGTGCCACTAATGTATTATGTTGTTAGGTATTTGTAGGAGTCGAAAATTGGTTGAAAATCATGTTCACATTGGTTTTCAAAAAAGTTCCAATCGAATAAGGAAAGTTGTCTTTGCGAACACATGTTTTTGTCTCTGCACAGCAGTCAGTATTTTGGTCATAACTTTATCTCTCAGTATCTGGTTGAGGTGATTAAAAGTTGGTTGGAAAGCTAATTCGAAGATATACAACTTTTCTAGAGGTAGAATTTTTCCAATTTGGACGTTTACTATTCCAAAATTGGGTGTCAATCTTTGACTAAAAATCTTGAATATAACACGTGCGATTGAAAATTGATTTGTAATAATATTTTGATCATATTTCATTCATTTTTGACTTCTAATTCAATCCAATTGTCTATTAGCATTCTTTAAAGTATCGTCTTGTGGTCCAAATCAATTATTGAATATTTGCAATTTGGTCCTCAAACATTGGACTTCGCCGTTTTTCGCTTCTTCTTTCAATTCCACTTTCAATCATCGGATTTTATCTAATAAACAAAGTATACAATAAATTAGATCATAATTGCTCAAAAAACTATTAAATGTCTATATTTTATGTCCAAATAAGTGTATAAAATACACTTATCATTTATGTTAATCAACCAAACTTATTTGGGTTTCGAAGTAGTGAGT